TTACCCGTCACGGAAACTGCTCTAGTAATAAGGAGTTGCCCGTATTTAGTAGGGACACGTCACGGAAACTGCTCTAGTAATAAGGAGTTGCCCATATTTAGAAGGTAAACGTCACGGAAACTGCTCTAGCAATGATATAAGGAGTTGCCTATATTTAAAAGGTAAACGTCACGGAAACTGGTCTATAAATAAGGAGTTGCCCATATTTAGAAGGTAAACGTCACGGAAATTGCTCTAGCAATGATATAAGGAATTGCCTATATTTAAAAGGAAAAAGTCAAGGAAACTGCTCTAGAAATAAGGAGTTGCCCATATTTAGAAGGTAAACGTCACGGAAACTGCTCTAGTAATAAGGAGTTGCCCATATTTAGTAGGGACACGTCACAATATCAGCCAATTCGGCAAAAGTCTGCCTTTTAACACAATAAACATTACGTACCGATAACACGTAATTTGATACACAGTAAAGGTGTTCCCGTTGGGGTCATTACTGAGTACAATGGCCTCTCTAACTCAATACATCACAATTGACGATAATAACATAACCCGAAATCAATATTTACCGGTATGCTTTCATATCTGACAATAATGCATCCTCATCCAGTCTCCATACGTATAGTCAAAGGTTGATTGGCCATTGTCAATGATTGAGTATACATGAAAAGCGGAAACATGAAAAATAAATATTTAAAAGGGAACATAATGATCTGGTCTGGTGGCATGGATCAGTCGTAAATATTTCATAAATTTTATCTTTTTACATTGCTGGAATAATGATAAATCGACAAATTTCTGAATTGAATTCTAGGCCTAGATTCAGATATGGGGATGAACCGACACTTGTAAGGATTTTAATGAATTCATGGAAGGTGAGAGGGTAGCGTTAACATTACTATTAATGTTACATTACGCGCTACGTTAACGGTATTTGCGGGACAGCTCTGGGTCAGAAGGATGCCGAGTCGAGCATTCCATAATCAGGCTCCCTGTATTACAGTCAATTTAAATAATACTAAATATGGGTACATGATTTGGTAGTAACTATATAACAAGTTATTTTAACATGTGGTGATTTTTAAATGCCGTTCAAACGTGATTCCTTATGCAGATAAGCAATTGGTAACTAATCTCTAAACAAAAAATACTGTTGACAGGCCACTAGATAAGCAGCCTTATCCTTGCTGGTATCAGGAGGGGTCTGTTCTGTTCAGTAATTTATATACTACATGATATCTCCAACGATATGTGTCAATTTAAAGTGTGCTTACACCGACCAGCCAAACAAAGCAAAATAAAAGTTGGCATATGTACATGAACACGTACATGTGCCCGTAAAAGGGGGAGGGAAACCTATATCCACACTGTACCATTATCAGTTAACCTTAACCACTATTGCAACTATACAGTGATCAAAATTGTAACAACAATATGTTAATTTTACAATTCCCTTTTATTATTTGCCATTGTGATAGCAGACTTGCGATGCAAAATTAGCATCAAATGTATATATAATTAATAGACATACTACGAATTCAGTCCTGTTCTTTTACGAGCTTGACTATTTCACTTTTGACAACCTGAGTGGAGTCCCGCAGGTTCTTGAAAAAACTCGCTGTATCCATCTGTGTATCGTTATTAAGAACCGACAAGTGTGGGGCCAATGCAGAATCTATGGTTTCTTGTTAATTGTCATACGCTTTGAAGACGTTGAAGAAACAAAAAATGATCTGGTGCCCCCATTGCGAAACCTATGATATGTATTTGTCCACCTCCCTACCCTTTTAATGCTGTGTATAAAGACCCCCGTTTTCCAACGATCTTAGCTGTTGTGAGGATATACCCCCCCCCCCCCCCCCCCCCCCCCCAAACAACCAAACAAATACCCTGATTGACTAACCTTACTTTCATCTAGAGCTTATATTTCATTATCAAAACTTTCCACACAAGACACTCTATTTGAGTTCTTCACGTGTTAAAGATAATTGATTCAGACAACGGCTACATATAGAGTCATATCTAGATCGATGAGAAATCAACACGTTATAAATTATTTATTTGAAGAAGTCATCGGCATTTACTAATCGATACCATGACATAATATGAAATAATCGTTTTCAGTCTGACTCATGAGACCAGACCAGATCATACCAAAACTTTGAGACCAGACAGGACCATGTTTGAAAGAACACGTTTCATGAAGGATCCAATGGGTGTCATGTGTCCCTATATATACCTGTACTGTGTTGCAATCATGCGTTATCGGTGTGGAATTGTGCCAAAAGCCAGACGTTTGCCGAAATGGCATATACTGGCCACGCATGACAAAACAACTGCTTCTGAGGCAATTGTCAGACACATTTTAAATTGACAAGTACTGTTTATTCAAGCAGTTGCCATGACATGTACCTACGAAATATGGCTAACTCCTTTTTACTAGAGCAGTTGCATTGTCATGGCGGCTTATGCGAGCCATCGTACTACAGGGGCAACGTATTCGTACAGGTAATCTGCTTCACAGTTATTTGATAACGAAACTAGGACACGCACGCACACACTGTAAGTTATCTTTACTTGCTCCGTCTAACACATTTGCTTTAGCCTTTTCTTTGATGTAATAGATATGGGGACTGTTAAGATGTTAATTTAAAACTTGATATTTGTTGGGGAGGGGCAACGGCAACACACGTATAGGACAAACGTATTCTGGGGTCTCCGATACATATTTCTCATGTCTTAGATATTCGACTGTACAGTCACTGTATGCGACAAACGACATAATATAATGTGTATAAAACGTTAGGTCCCGACAGTGACAGGTAAAATAACAAAATCTGCTGCATTTACTCACCCCAAAAGTTATTCTGTGATCGTTCATATAGAAATATAGAGGACATCTAACAATTTCTTCCGTAACATCAAACCTATACCATGGATGTGGCTTATATTTATAAATCTTTAACAAGTGCGCCGCCCGAGTGAAATATATTTGTTGTTACAGAGGTCACGTAGATATTCTGTTTATTACATTTTATCAACAAAATCTTACCTCGGAAGGCGAGGAAACACATCAAGCTGAAACCACTTGCTCTATATCCTGTATATCCTGTTACATGTAACGCTAGCACGACTAGACAATCCTACGCAACAAAATATAGTTATACGTGCAAAACATAATACAATATAAAGAATTCATTGTTAAATTCCCTTTGATGCTTATTTTAATATAGTAGTGGCTTTGTTTTATTTTCTAACAAAGTATGCCAAATTACTAACCAAATGTTATCATTTGAAAAAAAAGTCCTGTCATACCAACTCAGATCACTACGCGGTGTTGATACTTTGAGGCGCCAAATCTAAAATAGTAGGAATTGGGGAAAAAGCAGAGTGTATGTGTCACATATCTTGGTGATGAAATATAAACACCGCTTGTGCAATTTATGCTTAATCACTGTCACAGATAGTCTTGATTCTTTTAAACTTTCTGCCAATCGCAAAAGGTCACCTGCCCGACCGCGTCGGTTTTCTCTGGGTATTCCGGTTTCTTTCCATATGACCTTTACTTCCCGGTTTCTTCTCATATGACCCCATTAAGACCTTACGGGCGCTAACATCCCGGCTTACAAGAATGATTAATATAAATTGATCAAACTCGTTTCATAAATGTTGTAAAAGAAATAAAGTTTATATATATATATAGTTCAGTAACTTCGCGTGTGCTTTTCAGAGAATGTTTATCGGAACCGATAACGTCATGAAAAGCGTCGTTCATGGCAAAGTACTATCTGCCTTGCCATTTTAGCAATGATAGATGACCTTGCCATATAGGTCATTTATCATTGCTCAAAGGGTCCGATCATGTGAAGAGATTCACCTTGCCATGTATGAGCTTCAGCGACAGCCTGTGCAATAATCTATTAAACTCAACCCAGTAAAATGCCTTTTGATTGTCTAGGAATGCAACAAATGACTTACAGATCTACGGTCCATATAATGTTGTAAACTTTCCTTTGTAATAAAACCGGCCAAAATGCTACCAAACAATGACCGAACGTCTAGCTATAATGGTGCAGGATATGGAATTTCTTCTGATTTCCGCAAAATTATGATTAAATTTTGCTTTATGAATGTCAGTGTGATGTCAGGATAGCTATTAATAACCATTTACCTTTACTTGCTACGTTATCACAATACCTTCTTTAAAGGGGCTGGTCGGGGGNTTCCAAAAGTTATGCTATGGCAATATGATGGTCAACTTCTGATTGCAATGTCCAGTTTTGACCACTGAAATATCGGGGAAGCCCCGCGTAAATTTAGCGCAGATCTATTCATATATGTCACGTGGTGGTTTCGAAAGTGAGGCAGTGAAGATACATGTAACAACAATAGCACGCCGTCTATCAGCCATGTCGGACTCAACTAGCGGACAAGACAGCAATACTATACGTAAATAAATGTTTTCAATGGTCATGTATGATGCAAGTGTAGTATTCCTACCTATATGTTGTTGTTATATATAACGGTATTGATACCTCGTGCCTGTCAAGACTTTTACATGCATCTTTTTCTTTCGCCGCGATGTTTACATTTGACCTTGTTGATGACGCGCATGCGGTAAAATTACATCACCGATCTGGGTCAATTGAGAGTTTTAGACTGTCAGGTGACGATTAAGGATTTCTTTAATATAATTATAATTTTTACTCTTAGGGAATGAATTTCAGCCCCTTTAAAATTCATTGGATATCTGACTTTCATTACAATGGCATTAACAAATTAAGCTAAAGAGTAGCAAACTGTTCGCCCGCATATTGGCAATGTTCAATTAAATATTCTTTCATGACAAGATGATTACCAGGGGTAGTTTCCTTAATCCGCGTTTAACTTAATCATATGTGATGCTTTCGTCTAATATGGCATACGCAATTCAAAATATGTTGTTTCAACTATTCTCATCAGTTCGTTTTCTCTGTGTGTTTTGAAACTCGTTGTCAGACTCATTATTATCATTTTATCTCGTCAGTCCTGAGTAATGATTTTTCTTTTCTTGATCCCTTATGATTTTACTATCGAGTTTAAGCTCATCGCAGGTTTCTTTGTTAGAACGACCTTTCCGAACGAATCTGTAAAATGTACCAATATCTACACTCGCATATTCGTGCAGATCTCGGACCTTGGCCTATTCGTATGCTTAGCGCGCTCTTCGCTGCTTACGTTGAAAGATGGATTTTACCCCTTTGTATTTTTGTAAGATGTCACACGATTTTTCTGGGGTTTCCCATCAGCTAATCACGTTCTTCGCTGTTCTCTTATTGTAGAGTGCAGTTTCTGTAGGTCACAATAATTCCAATATGGCTTAAAATGACTTAACAGACTTATGAGGGATAGTCAAAGCAGCTCCAGAGTTGCGGTGCCAAGCGTTAAAGCATCCGTTTAGCACGTCTAAGATGCATCTTTGATGGCCGAATTTCAGTTTCCTGAGTCTGTTATGTACGTCTGCTTTTAGGTGTTTAGTTGATTGTCGTAAGCTTCCCAAAAACGTGGCGGTCATAAAAAAAGTGTTTTGGCGTCACAACACACATAAACATACACTTGAGTATGGTTAAGTGTGTTGTGACCCATATCAGTATAGCATATGTGTGAGGTAATGTGACCCTGTGAGCTACTTGTAGTATAGACAATAGGTAATAGGATACGAACCCCTGTACACGTCACACCTTTTAATTCGTCTCTAATGTGTGTGACCAGTGTAGATAGATCCGCCCTGCTATGCACGTCTACTCTATTAGTATCTCTGCTACTTTATTGAACTTTTGTCGATGCCTTATCGGCACCTGTAATTCCCGAGCTATTGTCACTGGGGTTAAAGGTACAATACCATGTCTATGGATTGTAATCTCCAATATTTTACTAAAGGTCTCCTATTGTGAAAATATATAGAGCAGAACTCAAACCGAATGGTAAAACAGTAAAACAATAGTACTTTTGTTCCCAACAAAAACCTAAGTATGGCTGTGTGGTGAGCCGCTGACAAACTGTTCTTCAGTTCTGTTTTATTTAAAAACTCTACGACATGGTTAGTACCTTCTATACACAAAAATACAGTATAGATAACTTCTTTTATTTTATCTTTCGCACTACTATTACCACTGTTTGTTCGTTTAATGAGAACACCATTCGGAGTTTGCTCTTTGTGTTCGCCCCGGTGCTCATATGCGGATATAAGCCTATCGTCCGACCCTCTATAAATCCTACATAGCTTCTATAAACAGTCAGCTTATCAAGATGACCAACAGTCTTTAACCTCAACATGACCTTCACGTTTGTGTTTGTTTTTGTGAAACTGTGTGTGATAACTCACCTTCATCATCATCGTCTCCATATTCCGTCTTTGCGTATTGCAGAGTTATCTTCTCTTGGGAGCAGGTATTGATTGTTACGTCATTGGTTTGTGTGAGAAAATGACGTCGTTTTCTCAAAAATTGATGACGTTACTCTCACAAACAAGTGACGTAACAATCAATACCTGCTCCCAAGAGAAGATAACTCTGCAATACGCAAAGACGGAATATGGAGTCGATGATGNGCCATCAATCACATCATTTTATCATCGATCAATAGTACCATACATTCTTACATCATCAGATATGGAATGACGCCTACATTTCCTGGTCAACTGAGTATTAAAGCATAGTCATCAACGTGTTTTTTTTTTGGGTTTGGCTGAGTATGGCGTGTCAAGCGTTGCAATATTCAATAATTTTATATTTATGTTCGAAATTTTATATTTGTATTCAATAATTGAAAATATATGTGCAATATTTCATATTTGTATTCAACAATTGTAAATATATTTGCAATATCAAAAATGGATTTGTTCGAAAAAAATGTATATCAATAAAAAAAATATTGATTAATATATATGGACCGTCTTTACCATACTTAAAAAGGAAAGAATAAAAAAAATCTTAGTCTGATAAAAAACATTGGAAAATCTCAAAGGTTTATATAGAATTCTAAATCAAAAACTACTTAGTGAAGTACAAAGTTTAATATTATTCATAAAAAAGTCGTGTTTTACTTGTTAATAATCAGACTAAAAGGATTTCCCAGAATATGAGAGATTGCTTCTACAAGCTATAGAAGGGGGAGTCCCCCCATCTTCCCATACCCTCACCTCCTCCGGCGCTACGCGCATCGGACGCTCGACCCCATGTAAGCATACACTTCGAAAAATGATTTGCTACGAAGGTTAAGTTATGAATGACCTTTTGAAAACAAGAGGACCAAGGGGCCTGAAGATGTTCACCTGGTGTACATTTATATTTGAATGGACCTGTGACCTTATAACCTAACAATTCTTAAAACAGACTGATTTCTTTATTGTAATAAAAACCATTGAATGAGGGATTTTACCCAAACTACAGTGGTTCATGTTGCTTACTTTTTTTTCTCTTTTTTTTTTGCATTTCACTGGTACGACAGTTAAAGGAATTACCATGTAACATGGAGCACCTACACTAATTTCTACTTAAAAATTATCAGGTATCTTCATACATGTATAGAAAATTGTAAATCATTCCTTTTTTTGCATTTCACTGGTATGACAGTTAAAGGAATTACGATGTAACATGGAGGTCCTACATTAATTTCACTATAAAATTATCAGGTATCTTCATACATGTATAGAAAATTGTAAATCATTCCTAACTACAAGGAATCTTTTTCCTGAGTGAAGCGACTCAACAATTTGAGATGTCATATTTCAAATCAAGTGATGTGCTCCAGTAGAAGCGATAATAGTGTGGTGTAATGCTGGGAGGCCAGGACTGAGCTGAGTTTATACCCCCCGCTTGCAGGAAATATTGTAGGTAAACATTATTGAGGTTAAACAAGGGGCCATAACTCCGCCGAATAAAATAAAAATTTAACCCTGTAACCAAGTTTGAATAAAATCGATTAACATTTATTGCAGTTATTGCACGGAAACGGCAGATAATGACGTTTTTCGTTATTCAAGGAGCCATAACTCCGCCAAATAATGTCCGCTGAAAGTAGTCATCGAGTTTGCCCTAGCCCTTAAGGCATTTAACCCTGTTACCAAGTTTGAAGAAAATCGGTTGACA